GTTTGGCCTGATTACTCCTTTCATTCATCTACTCCAGTGTCTCAAATTAAGCTATGCACCTGGTGTGGCAGAGCTTTTCCTCTTCCTCCTGCTGGATTATGGAACAGGCGACATCTCTGGAGAGTTCAAAAATCTTTTTCACAACTGAATTTTATTTATTTATGTATTTAATTTAAAGCTTTTATCTTTCAAAACCAGACTTGCTGTCTTTGTTTTGTTCAGTTGGGTGTTAGTCGCTCTATAGTGGTTTGTACATTTGGTGAGAACAACTGGGTACTTTGCATATTTAGTTGGCCTGAAGTAAAAATTCGTGTTCCTTAATTAGTGGCAACAAACAATTCCTCACTCACTCTGGAAATATGCACCATTTTTGTTCATTTCAGACTGTAAATTATATTGTTAGTTTAGCAATAATCACAAGATTCAGAGATCGTGACTGAGCCTCTTCTCCAGTTTCAACTTTAACATTTAACAGTATGAATTATATTTCAAGTACTTTAATATATATTTTTAAACCTATGTTGCATTTGTATTAATAGAGGTATTCATTATCGGATGATAGTTATTAATGAGCAATTGTATCACTATCACCATATAGGTGTTAGTTACCATATGCCATGTCATATACTCTTAGGAATGCAAATATATAAATGTGTAAAGAAAATATCAACAGATAAAATGAGAGCATTAAGTAAATTTTGCAGTTAGGTTGGGATCAGCACTCCTTTAAATCCTTCAGAAAAGTCCATTACTTCTGTGAGTCATGGCTTTTTCCTGCAAAGGCTCTGTCACAGTATGCCATATTTGTTCAAGTATAGAGGAATTTGGGTTTTTATTATACTTTTGTGAGCTTGTCCATTACAAATGTTAGATACATTGCTCTGGAATTCCCAGAGTCATTCTTTGGCACATTTTTAAGAGTTTATGTCATATTTACCACTTCCCCTTATTTTTTAACTGAGACCTATTTAAAGGATATAATGCATGTGGAAAGATTTGGACATTATATATTGGAATTCATTTATGGGAGCCCTAGTGAAAAGCATTACTTCATGGCAGCTTGCTTGAAAACCTCTTTTTGCTGATATTTCAGTTTAAAGATGATTTATAAAGTTTATTCTGTTTTTTCTTTCTTTTTTTTTTAAGGTTGTTGAATAGAAAAACTTATATTTAGAATGCAAATAATGAATTTATTATTGAAATTTCATCTGATAATGCTATAGCTATTTGACCGTCTTTTTTTTCTACCAGAAAGGTTTCTACTTCTGATGTGTTTGGAAATAGCTTTAGTAGATATTGTCAGTAAGATCCTCCTAAAAATCAACTTTTACCTTACCTTTTTATGTTAATATAATTAATTTCTGTTGTTATGGTGTGGTTTTAATTCAGTTCTGTTTAGACAGGGTTCTGACTTCTGATGGATGTCTTTACCTCTAATAACATCTCTAATTTTCTGAATAATCATGCGTGTCATGAATCCATTGGATTCATCTCAGTTCCTAGTATGCATTTACTATTAGTCTCTAATAAGACTGCACATTAGTTTTCATTCTGTTCATAATTAGTTTATCCTTTTGTCTGCTCCTTTTAATTTCTCTTTGATGGACAACTTCTATTTTTTTGTACTTTGTATTCTAAAGCTAAAAATTAATTTTTTGCCTTTTCCTTTTCTCTGGAAAATTAAATCTAAATATGTTATGGTCAGTGTTACATGCCTTGTGTCAGGACTCAGGAGTCTTTGAAATTAGGGAGAAAAAACCCCAAACCCCCATAAAACACAAAATACCTTGCCAGCTGTAGAGTTTTGAGACAAAGAATTCAGTGTATTATATATACTGCCCCCCACTGCACCCCTGTCTCTGTCCCCACTCATTCTGTGCTTCAGATCCAGAAAATACTCTTCTACTGCCTTTATGTTAGTGTGGTGGCATGTAGAAATGAGAGGAATAGAAGAAAATCAGATATTGTTAGGATCTAACATTTTGGAGCCCGTCTTCAAAGGCAGATGGCATGTAGAACACCTTGTGAATTCCATTGATTTTTGGAAAATAACAGCCTACACATTCCTTTTTGAAACGTCTGTATTTTAAGAATTTTAGTGAAGACAAATCTTGGTGTGGATGTCTTTAAAAGGAATTAGATGGTTTTAGGTTGACTTAAGAATCTGATATTTACTATTCTTTGCAGTTGTTGAAGTACTGCTGTTGTAATGTCTGTTGGTGAATAATCTAACAAGTAACCATTTCTGAGGTGTCCTGTTCATGTGAAATCCTCACTCAGGTGTCTTTCCACTCATTCAAGTCCTGTTACCTGCTGCCCCTGTGTGAGGATTTGACCAGTCCTCTTGGGAGAGCTGCTGGATCCCTGTTAGGCCTCATGGGCATAGTAGGTTTGGGACAAGGTGGTGTTTTTCCTTTTTAAAGATCTGTTTCATTTCAAAGTAATTAGCAATACTCTGGATTTTTGAGTTTTCACTGCAAAATCTGTGGTTATGTTCTTCAGCTTCCAAGCTGAAGAGGGAACTTTGGCTTAACTAGACAGCTTTTTGGTCCTTAACTTCTACCTTCTTCAGCTTGGAAATGTAGACTTTTCTTGGAAAATGTAATTAAGCCATACTTCAGTATCTACAGATTTTTCAGACTTTATTTGGGTTTCTGGGACAAGCTTTGCTTAGTCAAAGATGGCAAGTTAAAGCAGTCTGGTAGAAAATAGCTTCAAATTGAGATTAATAAAGTTGTTTATAAGATTTGACAAAGGCTGTCTTAATATCATCAGATTTAGTAGTGACCCCATTATGTGCTCTAATTTGATCATCTGATTTACCTAAACATCTTTGGAGAGTAATCAGGAAGTTCTCGGGCTTTAAAATTATTTTAAAAATTATTCTTAATATTTTAGAAAATTAAATACTTTTCTGGTGCAGAATTTCTGCCTTTTCTTCATATGTGTGTGCGTGTATATATATCTTTAGGTAAGTTTGAGAACATCCCTGTGAAGTGGGGGCCCTATGAAGGGCCTTCCATGAGAACTGGTTCTGTAATTTTTTGTGGGACTGAGGTGAAGGTAGTCATTCTGTTCCCCAGGTGTTTCTTCTTTATCTTTCTGAAGGTGACTGTATACATTCTACTTTTTCCAAGAGCATCCACTGCTACTCCTCAAATGTGATTGGGAGAGACCTCTTTTCCCATGTGATATATGCATCCCATCTAGCTCCATAAGCTGGCACATTTCACGTTGCTTAACTAAGGCCTCATCCTTCTATCAGGTATACTTCTGTTCTCCAAGCTCTCCTGGTAGGCACTGGGGCCTGAGAAGCCCAAGGGCAGACTTTGCTGGTAAGGATCGGCACAGACATTGAGTGTCTCAGCATCTTTCATGGCCTTTCCTCTCTTTTGACAGCAGACCCCTGTTGTCCTTGCTTGTAGGCGAATATCCATTATGTTCATAGAATCCCTGTTTAGTTTTTTGCATCTCTTGCTAGTTTCATCTTCAGCTGTGGTTTTCCTAATTCTATCCCTGTATGCCTGGAAAGTGCTTCTGGGGCCCTCCTGGGTAACTTCTCAGATTTCACCTTCTATAAGCTTCCTGATTGCCTTCTGAGCTTTGTTTGAAGTTCCCCGTTTAGCCAAGTGGGGATAGCAGATCAAATGGTCCCTTCTCATCCTCTGTGGGGGTTTTCTTTGAAGATCAACCCGCTTTCTTTGGCACCTTGTCATTCAGGACCATCGCTCATGAAATCTAGCCAAGCAGATCCCGGAATAAGCTGAAGTCCATTTTTCTATAATCCAGGATTTTTCCTTTGTTCTGTTTCTTGCCTTCAGCACTTCCTGTAGAATCTTAAGCTCCACTGTCTTGTTGCTGTAGCCAAGGGAGCAACTGACTTCCACATCCCTGATTAGGCTATTTTTTTTTAATTTATGAGTAGAAAATTCAGTAGAGCACTCCTAGTTAGTTTGTTTGGCATTTGTCCTCAGTGCTTTTGAAATCTGTACTGCTTCTGCCCTACTGAGTTGCGCTTCCAGCACATGAACTGGTAGTTCTATTCCACCCTGAGTATCAAGGGTGAGTGTGTGAAAGCTTTCCTTGTTGCCCTGTCTTGTGTGTGCCTCTCACCTCACATGCTCCTCAGCAGCTTGATTTAGGTTTAGAAGATACCCTGCTCATGATTTCCAAGTTTCTTTTGGTATGTAGAAGCTGTAATTAAATACATACAGTTTATGTGAGATTGAATGAGTTTATCATCCAAAGGCAAATAATTTATTTGACATATGTCAGGTAAATACTTCTTATTGTGTCCATATATTTTGGCACAAAACCAGATGATTTAAATGTGGTAATTTCTGCCTCAGTCTACAATTTAACTTCACCTAAATAATAAATGTCCATCTATTTATCTGTTTCTTCATCACCATAGAGACAGACACTTGTGTTGAGTGGTTTGTGTTTCCTACTTTGCATATCCTACAATCAAAATTTTAAAAATTTTAGTATTATAGTGTGTTAAAAATGACAGGAAACAAAAGTCTGATCTGATGGAATGTGTTGAAAAACAATACCTAACGTTTTGGCTAGTTTGTTAGCCAAGTTTTAAAATGAAAAAAATTCATTAAACACAGAAAAACTCCTTTTCAGATGGTTTTCAGGAATACACTGTTATGAAGATGGTGTGGTATATTAATTCAATTTTATCTTTTCAGTTTTCATATGCATTGTGTTTCTTCTGGGGATGAAGTTTAAGAGAAAAAAACAAAGAATATAAACTTGTTTCTTTGGAAAGTATTTATTAGCTCTGCACTCAACTAACTGAATATATTTTTAATATTCTGTACATTTTCAATGTGAAAAAGAGTACCTTGTTAAGGTAATGCTGTCTGCTTTGAATTATAGTGAACACATAGAATGTGAAGAATTTGTTATTTAATATTTAGTATTTTAAACATTTATTTAATGTGGTTTGTCTGTGCCATCTGTTTTAAAATATGCCTTAAAACCTGACACAGGCTTCAAGCCGTCAAGAAGATGAACAAGTGGTCCTTGTCAGAACAGATGAAAGTGGAAGGGCGTGGCCTGTGACCGGACCAGCTGAACCACAAGAGGCAAAAGGAGGACGGAGAAAGCGACAGATGGTAAGTTTTACAAATGGAAGTATTAAAGTGTAATTATTAAATGATTTTGTAGTTTTACTTTGATGATGCCATAATTAATGAGTGTCTTATCAGAATGTCAGTAGGTAGCTAAAATGTTCCTTTCAGAAGATGATTGTAATTAAATGCTAGAGTACATATTTATTAAGCATATATTAAGTTTATTTTCAGATTATATTTCCCTAGGGATCACTTTACAGCTTATTTAAATGCACACTCATGGAAAAGTAGGTTTTTCAAGTTATCACAGTCTCTTAGCCAAGTAGTTTATATTCCATAAAGTTATGTAAATAATGAAGATTAGCAGAGCTGAATATTTCCAAAATAACAAAGATTTTACCAAGTTACTGAGGTCTCAAGGGCTAATTTTACTTTTCTTCTAATAAAAAATATGGCTACTGCTGTTAATAATAATTATGACCTAATCTTTTTAACAAAGTGCTTTGGGGAACAAGAATCTTGGAGGCTGGAGCAGTGTTTTATTCTTAGGATAATTGCTTGCAACAGTAAATGAAGTACTATTTTGATCTGTTTGAGATAAGAGGAGATGACAGTACCTCATGTTTCTAACAAGCATGTTCTTGATTAGCAGGACAGATCATTTTGCAGCACTGCTGTGGAGGAGCGAAAGGCATAAGAGAATGAGGAATTTGTTGTCATCCTCCTGTTGTTTCCATTTTAGAAAATGCCATCTTGCTGTATGTTAATGACCATTCCCTGTGCTCCTTCAGGATTTAGTTAAGTCCTAACCTAAAGGACATGTGTTCTCTAGCGCGATCTGTCTAAGATGGCAACATTTCCCAGCAGAAGTTCCATATTCATATGGGTTTTCAGTACGCTCTGTGATTACTGTGTTTCAGTAGTGACCGTGACTTTACAAAACCTTTTGAATTGTCAATCATGAAAATTACTTTTTAGAATATTTCATTTTTGTGAGCTTATTAACTGTTTCAGTGCATCTTCCCTGAGTAATAATGTTGTAGCTCTGATACCTTAAGGATGCAAAGGATATAGCGATTGTGGAAAGAGGCTACATTTTTATTTAGGCATACTGATGCAGTTGAAGAAAGGGGTAGATATTATTTTCCTTAGATGAAATGAAGTAGTCAGCCCAGTTGTTTCAGATGTGCTGAGCTTGATTCGTGATTCTTTAAACTTGTTGAAATTATTGGGATCTGAATTTTATAGCTGATCTTTCTCATTAGGTAAATATTTATTTTTAATATGTTTGTTTCCAGGTCCCTACTCATGTAGATAAAGAGAGAGTACGGTATTTTCAGGATGATGATAATATGGACCTGAAGGATTTAGTCAAAAATGAGAAGATGAGGACAGCAGAGGATCAAAACTCACTGTTCATGCGTATGGCGTCAAAGGTAATGTGTTGTGTGTGTGTATTTCTAATTAAAGATGTCATTTTTAGAAATATCAAGGAGGATATGAGGCTTGAGTGCTCTAGGTATGTTGCTTTTGGTTGAAAATTCTTACTGTCTTGAGTAGTAATCAAGTCTTTTGTGATATGGTCTTCGTAGATGTCATCAAAGTGATGGAAACCTGCACATAATCAGGAAATGTGTGTGTTCAGTTCCTTTATAGATGTGTTTGTGCTGTTCCTTTGCCTGTAGAATTTGACACGGTTGAAGTGAATACTTTTAAAGTGCATCGTATATTAATAGGTTACTTATGCCCAACAAAGCAGGTTTTCCCCAAATTAGTGATGGAGAAAAGCGCCATTTTCTTTGTGTTTGGAATGTCACTTTCATCTAGAAGTTACAAAAATTAATGAGATTTGAAGCAAATTACCTGAATTTCCATCAGGATGTCTTGGATAATGAGATAATTCATGCTTACAGGCCACACAGATTTATGCAATATGGTTCCATGAGTGATTCCAAAGAGCAGCCAGCTTACAGACAGACACTGCAGCCCAAATGGAATGATTATTTTCTGTCATCCAAGTTGAGTAATAAGGCATACTTTTTGCACTTGATATGGAAGTGTTTGACAGAGAGGATTTCCAATAGCTACGACACATGATTTCTCTAGCATGCTTCAATTTTTACTAGGTTACTGCCCCAGTATTTTGTGCATCACTGAGCAGGTTCTGAAGAAGTTTGCTTACATGGAATTAAGTAGCATCACAGAAAAAATTTTATTTTTCCATTTATCTAGAGGCAGACAAGATCCCAGAGAGTAGGTTTTGGTTTGTTGTTTTTATTTTTTTTTTAATTTTATTTTTCAAAATTGGGCTTCTTCGGATGGAACTTAAAATAATTGTAAAAGACATGATAGTGCCCAGTAGAAAATATTTAGACTGATACCATAAGCCTTCTGGCAGGAAGTTCTTCTGGAGAGATTGTCTGAACTCAGTGTGGTTTATACACGTTGTCATTCAGCTGCCTCTGGTAGAAATTCTCTCTCACTGACATACTCAAAACAAATGAAACCCTTGGGGTCCAGTTAAACAAACATGACTTGTTGCCAGTATTTAATTTCTTTCTTTACCTTCTTGTCCAGAAAAAACCCAAACACAATACAAATTTTCTTCAGGACTTGTGCAGTGGTGCAAACTGTTAGCATTAATTAACCAGCATATCTGTCATGCAAACACTTAAAAGAAAATGAAGGTTTAAGGACACAATCAAACATTGTACTGTCCACATCATATGATAAAAAGCATAACAGAGGAAATGCCATTTTCTCAAGGACCCTATTCATCCCATGTTGTTTTGTCTCCATTAAGTGTTCTTGTTATGAGAGAGAACTTTCATGATAAATGGTGCTGGGGGGCTATGTGTATGAATGTCTATATTAAAACATAAGTGTAATGGATTTAAAAAAATTCTTTAACTCACGAATGAGCATTGAAGGTGAGTTTGTAAATCCATATCAGCATGTTGTTCTGAAATTACTATTAACATGCTCAATTTGTTCTTTATTTAGTGCTTTCATGTGGCTGCTTCCATTGAACAGTTTAGAGGGTTGCTTTTTGTGCTCTTGACTCTTTTTGGGGATGTGTAAATAAAATGAGGCTAATTTGAGCTTCCTGAGTTTTGGTAATAGCAAATGTTTGCAGTGACCCTATGAAAACATAGTAGGAAGTGCTTTTAAAAAGAGAGATTTTTTTTTTTGCTTGCATTTTTCTAAATGCAAATAAAAGACAATGCAGACTCTTTTTTCTGAGAAATGTGTGTATTTACACAGTAATTTGTTTGTCTTGCCTCTGGACTTTCTAAATTTTGTGAAAAATATTGTTTGTCTATTGGTGTATTTATTGATTCCAAGTTTCTTCACTTCAGACTGGAAAATAACTTTTGACTCTTAGAGCCCTGAACTGTTGTTCATCTGCCTTTGGTTTCGTTTTTGTAATTTTGACATTAATAATGCAAGAAAGGCTAGCAAACTTGAAGGGAGATCGGAGTTTTCTATATTATTTAGTTTTGTAAGTCTTCAAAGGCAAAAGCTCTGATAATTTTTCTTTGTAATTTTTGTTCTGTTCTGTTCTTTTTTTCTATTCAATTTTGAAATGCTGATCATTTTCCAAGTTCTGAGACATGTAATGCAAGAGCAGCTATATGAGAGATTCACTCAGCCCAGTATTCTCTGTCCAACAGTGATTGCATAGGAGAAAGAGAATAAGAACAGGTCACATTTCCAGTGATACAACTTGTGCTTTCCTAGCATTTAGCAATTTGGAAGTTTTAATGCTACCTCCTTACCTGGTACCTCTGTCTGTTTTATGGATAGTTATGTGAATTGGGGATTAGACTGAATATCCCCTGTTACTTCCTTTCTGTGGCTCCTCATCTTCCATTTTATCATCTCTACCTGTTGTTAAAAGGCATGAGCTATAATTATTGAATTTGAAGAAAACAGAAAACCAAATCCTGTATGTGTAACATCTTAGGTTAGCATTCTTGTACCTGGAACCAGTTCCTTGAGGATTCCAGTTACTTGCACCGTAAGGATTTCTGGGGCAGTGGTAAAACTTGGTCAGGCTAGGAGTGGTACAGAAATGGCCTGGTACAGTATGGAGCTGTTTTGAAAATACAAATTCTGTACAAATGAGGGTGAACTTTGGGAACTGAATTTTTGTATCCATGTAGTAGAATAAAACGAAATATATCATTTAACTTCTATAAAGAAGCAATTATGAAGAAATGTGGAGTATCTTTAGTGGGATTTTAAAAGGACTACATAAAGGGAAAATGCTTGCAGATGTATGTCACTGGTAAAAACGTTCTAAGGGGGTGAACACCCTCCCAAAACAGGATAAAACTTTGATTGTTTTTATTTAAAAATAAATTCAGGGGTGAGAGAAGAGAAGAAGAAAGAGCTTCTGGAGGTTGAAAGAAAAGTCAAAATCAGAACCCAGCCATTATTTAAAAAGTACTTCTCATGTCTGAGTAAGGAGAATGAAAAAGAGAGTGAGCCTAGCAGGCTTAGAAGGCAGCTTTGATGAGAATGAGCAAAAAATTATCTTGAGGGAAATTCTGTAATTATTTTGAGTTTGCTAAAAGGTAAAAAACTAGGAGTTAGATTCATTGAAAGCAAGAAACCAGCAGGAATGTGGTGTTGAAAAACCCGATCAAGGGATAATTGGAGCATTTAGGAAAGATAAGTGCATGGCAGAAAGATTAATGAACTATTTGCATTAATACCCTCTGTAAATGAGGTCAGAGCAATTGTTTTGTGTGAACCATTATTTACATGGAATAAGTGGAAAAGCTGTCTCAAGTTAACAGTGTCAGTAAAACAAATTTTAGTTCAAATTTATAGAAATCCATTATTTTAAAATGAAAGTTGAATTTGAGATGAATAATAACCAATAACTAAAACTGAATAATCCTCACTTAAGTGAGGAAGTGAGAGAAGTCAGGTGTGTCATGCTCAGCTGTGAACTTATGAGTGTAATCTTTATTCATCCTGAGGAACAGAAGATTGCAAGGATAATGGCAGTTTTTAAAAAGAAAACAGAGGGCAGGAGTAAATGGTAAATTTTTTTTATAAAAGGAAGTTACCAGTGGATTCATCATGAATTTCTTCTGTTCAACACATACATAAACCATCTAGAGGAAGAGATACTTTATGATCTGAGAATTGGTTATGATTAGGTAAATATGCATGACTGTCAAAAATAGAGGTCACTGTAAATTGTAGAATTTCAAACTACAAAGCTGGAATTTTTCTACCATTGTGAAACATACCTGAACTGATTCCTAGGATTCACTTCAGAGAGTTTCTTGAGAAATGTATGTATTTTAGTGATGTGAGTTACCTGTTCTATTTTAAACATTGTCTGAAAGACATTATGAGTATAAAAGGAATTAAAATGTCTAGCTCAGACACAGGAGATTATGCTATAGACCTCTCAAATAAACAGAAAGAGATCCCCTCGTAGGTATTGAGGCAATAAATTCAGATGAAAGTCAGGGTTGATGAATGCAAAATTATGGTAATTGCTGAAGCTGCGTGAAGCCATGACTGTGCATATACCACAAGAGGCTGTTGATGCTTGATTTGAGAGTCATTGTGAGTCTGCAAACATCATCTCCGTGCTGGTGTGATTAAAATGAAAAACAGAATTTTGGAGGTTGTGAAAAGGGGGAATTTAGAACCAATTTAAAGTGTATAAGGCTACTGCAGTGCACCCAGGCTGCACCCATATCTTGAATGCTACCCACTCTGATAAGCATAGGCTGTGGTCAGAGGCACAGAATGGGGGCCATTTGAAGAAAACCTAAGTAAGCAAAATTTTTTCAGCCTGGGGTGTGGAGGGGTGGGTAGGGGAAGGCAGTTGCTAGACTAGAACAATTGGCATAAAAGTTTAATAGAAAACAACAATTTTTGTTTGTCATATGGGAAGTGGTCACAGAACGGAGTTTGATGTGAATTGAGGCTTTTTTTCAGCGAAGAAGGCCTTAATTGTGAGTGGGAACAAAAAAAAGGTATAGTAACTTTGTGAAATACAGTTTCAGTGGTAAATATTAAACAGGGAGATCTAGATAGGCTTTTGGCTCAGGATTTCCACAGTGATGAGCTGCAAATGTATATCAGAAGAGTCAGCTCTGTGAGCTTCATTTATGCTTTCTGCCATATGTTTTAGCCATTGCTGGAGATTGATTTTGTAACATAAACCAATCACACTGGGTGAGTGAGCAATTGAGTTTAGTTATGTTCCATTCTAAGGGCCTTTTTCTTTTTTTTTTTCCTTGTTTTGTTTGCTTTTTAAGGCTAAAATTTCTTAATAATGCTACATTAATGTATTGTGTTTCCTGGCTTAAGCAACTGCTTTATTTTAGTTTTAGAAGGCTCTTAAAGTTCCTACAGACTTCAGTGAGCTTTGGATCAGATGCTATGTATTGTGGTTTTTTTT